GGAGAACAAGGTATTGAACCGTTTTGTGTTTGCCTATTTATATATGTACTTATACTAGCAGAACCCGTGGCTACGCCCGCATTTATATCTGATAAAAAAAACTCTTTGGCTTTATGTTATACTTACTGTATATAGCGATTCTCGTCGCTATGTATTTATATAACATTGTTCATACAAAAATACTAAAATCGCGATTAAAAATGGGGGGTAGGGGTAGGAGGGGGAAAATACTTTACGACCTATTCTCATACCTACCAAATATACAAAAAATCATTAAAATCGGTCGAGCCGTTTCGGAGGAGTGCGACCACAAACACCGCGGCAAGAGAAATTTATGTATATCTATAGTAATATTATAAAGAGGTAAAGTTTGTGAGGTTGTAAGGGGTAATCTACTGAACCGATTTAAATGAAATTTGGTAAGAAGATAGTTTGAGACTCTGGGAAGGATATAGGATACTTTTTATCCCGGACATCACCACCTAAAGGGGATGACAATAGTGATGAAAGTTTGTATTAGGAAGCAAGCTAGGGACGAACCTGAGCGAAGCGAGGGAGAGTCGCTAGTATTAAATAAAATTAATAATAAATATGTAGCACCTTACATGGCAAGTAACCCGACTAATTGTAATAGGTATATGCCTATATAATAAAAATCCGTAGTTTGAAGCTAAAAATAAATATAAATCTTTGTATTACGTTAATTAATAAATGACCTGTTTTCTAAGCTGTGGTTATGTTGGCCTTTTCCATTGCAAAGCGGTATGCGGTTAACAATAACTTGTTATTAGTTGCCCGATACTGAGGTTGATAATGAATAACTATTACTAAAGTGAAGACTTTATAACAATAGTAAAGCTTGAATTCCGACATTTTTGTAAGTACATAGGTATTCTAATTTTTAACTACATGTGACAAAACAACAACAAAACAAATGTTATTTTAACACAATATATTTTCTTACTAGCATTGCCCGCGGCTCCGCCCGCGTTCAGATGACCAAAAATCAAATTCTTAGGCTTTACATATTAGTACGAGTATACTCTTACATTTTGCAGTTTTTGTATTTTTTCTCAGAAATAAGACATTTTCCCGCGGTAAAAAGTATCCTATATGTTGAACCGGATAACCAGCTATCACCATACCAAATTTCATCAAAATCCCTCCAGTGGTTTTTCCGTGATGCGGTAACAGATAGACAGACAGACAGACAGACAGACAAAAATTCTAAAAACTATAGATTCTGCCTCTGTATCGATAATAATGTTCATTTCAATAAGATTTTCCAAAAAATATATAATATACAGATTCGGCTTAGTTACAATTTTATTATATGTATAGATTTTAACACAATTATACGTGTTTTTTTGTTGTTTTAGGCAAAGAGAACATAACGAGTCTTTGTATGGTTTGTGGTGGAGTGTTGGGGATTATTCCGATATGTATATTAAATTCAACTGTTCTGTTCAGCATTGATAATAAAGTGTTATAATTTTTTACTGAATAAATAAAATATAAATTCCGACTATTTTCTAACATTGACATACCTAGGAGGGAGATACCAACATTTGGCAAACGTTCTTTAATAAATTTTTTTCAATTAAGCAATTTATGCTGTTTCTATGTTCCTATGGCTGAACGGATCTGGATCAAATTTGGCACAGAGATAGATTATAGTCTGGATTAACATATAGGCTACTTTTTATCCCGGAAAAATGTACGGTTTACGTGGGATAAGATTGATTTTGAGAGAGAGAGATCGAGACTGTTGGTTCGAAAATGTATTAATTATTACGAATTAATAAAAATAGACAGAGACGGAAAATAAAACCTTTTACATAAGACGTATTCTGGGTTTTTACACTATAGGTAGGAATGCATTTAAAATCATTTGCAAAACATAATTTGTGAGAAATAATCGAAATCACTTCTTTGTTTATTATTTTAATTGAACGTTCAATTTGCTACGTAGAACGGTTTTTTATTCAAGTTTTATGGCGGCTTTAAACGTTTCAAATCCTCTAGATTTTTTGTGGACTAAACGGAAAATATTTAAATAGTGAGATGATAAAACAATTTTTGTGAAATTTAAAATTATACAATATGTAAATATTCATTTTATTCGATAATTATGTACTTCACAGATTATTGATAGTTATAACACCAGATTTTAGAATTTGGTTTGTTTTATCAAATTTGTATGTTTCTATTACCTACACAGCTTAAACATAAGTTAAAAATATAGCTTAGTTTTATTTCATCAACAAAATATTTCAAAGTTACACTATGAGTTTTATTATTCGTTCCGTTATAACCCATGGTTGGTATGGTATGATTGGTTATAGTATACTAGCTTGATTCCCCATACAAACACAAATAATAATATAAAAAAATTAAGGGATGATTTCCGGTATAAAAAGTATCCTATGTTCTCACTCACAATCACTCACAATCTCACAAACTTTATCTCTTTATAATATTAGTATCTAAATGCAAAGAGCGAAAAAACCGCAGGCAATAGCTAGTTAAAAACAAATATATCTACCAATAATTAATGTTATTTCTCGTTTCTCATTGATTAAATTGATTTAATTACGATATAAGGTCTTTATATAAAACGATGTCAGAAAAGTTTAATAATTTTATTTATCTTAATGTGAGATGCCATTGCCACTAAAATTCTCCATCCTGTTATAGGTACAAAGTTTATGCTACTATCATAGATGACATCTATACGTATAATAAAACTGTAGAGGTCGAATGTCTGTACATAGAAAAAAAATCCGAGCCAAGGGATGTAAGAGAAATAAAAGAAAACCAGTTTTTTTTAATTTTTTTTTCTGTCTGTTTGTCTGTTTATCTGTTTGTCTTTTTGTACGTGCTAATCTTCCAAAATGTTGGACCGATTTAAATGAAATTTTGCACGGTTGTATTTTATATCTCCGGTCAACATTTTCGATACTTTTCATCCCGGAAAATTAAAGAGTTCCTGTGGGATAGTTAAAAAACTATAGTAACTTATACAGCTTAGTACACAAAAAGTACTGATTGGATTTTAATGAAACTTTGCAATAATATAGTTCATACATTAGAATAACAAATAAACTACTTTTTATCCCAGAAAAATGTACGGTTCCCGTGGGATAGATTTGTTTTTGTTTGTCTAGAGGCGAACCCGAGCGAAGCGAGGGTGAGCTGCTAGTAATAGTATAATAGTACCATAGACGTAGAGAATGGGCTGAGCTATACCACGGTAATACTACTAATACTCTCATGAAATTGAAGACTCTCTAGAGAGAGACAGCGAACGTGCGTCCAATACCTGTCTTTTATTCCAACTTAAATTTATAAATGGAATGCTAAAAATTATGTCATAATTTATAAAAAATTATAATATTATAATGGAATGTAAAATGGTAATAAATATCTATCTTCATTAATCCTATTTCAATTCTACTATATATTTATTCTGTGTTAATGCAGAAGACTTCTGGCCGCACATTGGTTTTGTCTCTGTCGCGTCTGTCCGCCATTTTTAGCTGACGGCTGGCAAAGAAACAAAGAAAAAAAAAAGAAGTATAGATGCTCTAGATAAAATTGGACAGAGCTTAGGAATATTTTTGTTTCATTGATTAGACGATAGATGGCATTGATCTGCAACTTTTTAAATTTTACATTATGATTGTTAGTCTAAAATACATTGAATATAGCATTCATCTTGCATTTTATTAAACTTGCAGTCACTTAAAAAATTCTCTGTGGTATCAACAAAAAATAGTTATTAAAAAATTTATAAATTAATTTAAAAAAAACAATTCGATACATATAATGACATCTATTGACATTTGCTTGAACTAATTTTTCTTTGTTCGTGATGAGACCCCACGTAGATACTATTATTATATTATAATATAGTCATGAGTTTGTGTAAACTTATTTGATACGCACAATGTTGAGATGTCTGCGTTTTTATAAACAAGGAAAAACTTTAATTAATTTTTATATTTTTTGTTGAGATAATATTAATTAATACCCAAATAAAAAAACATAGAAATCTACTATATTGAAATAATGAGTGAAAGACTTGAAAGATTGGCTAAGATAGAATTATTTTGTATGTTTAAATTTGTTTTTAACATTTAAATAATAATCAGCGAATGCTTAGAATGTTATTATTTGTATATATGCGAGCCACGGAAGCAATCAACGTCACGTCACTACAATAACAAAGATAACTGGCGTTTCTATGAAGTTATCTTACTTGTTACTAATAAATGCGAAAATTTGAATGGATGGATGTTCGTTAATCAATCACGCCAGAACGGCTAAACGGATCTTGAAAAAGTTTGGCACAGTAATAGATTATAGTCTGAAATACCACATAGGTTACTTTTTATTCCGGAAATATGTACGGTTCCCGTGGGATAGATTTGTTATTGTTTTTCATTCGGGACAAACCCTAGCGAAGCGATGGTGAGCCGCTAAGCCGCTAGTGTTCAATATTCTTTTATATACCTAATCATATCTAGTGTTCTTATATTACTTTTACGGATCCTTAACAGTGTCTTGTCCATTTGAAAAGACTATACAGAAATAAATTTGCATGACTGTTACTTGAAGAATTGAAACTTGATTTTGAACTTGAAACAAATCTCATACTCTCAAGTTCAAACAAAGAGACTTATAAGCTTTTTTTTAGAAATATCTTTGCAAATAAATTAAAACCGGAAACAACACAACATCTAGTACTTATTATACAATATACGCTAATAGTACTTATTATGCGATAACCTGACATTGCATGACGAACATACAATATTTATATCTATTATGAAATAATATACAATGATCAATATCCTGCTTTATCGGAGATTTTCCTTAAACATCAAAATGTCAATTTGCACCCACGTATGGAAACCGGTTGTTCACTTCACCAAAAAATTCCTTTACACTTTTCAATTATACTATCACTAAGCACTTTCTATTTAATTACTTCTTACCATATTTGTTGGTCATAAATTGCAAATTAACTTGTCTTAATTAAGCAAATAATAACACATGCGCCCTACGCGCTTGATTCTTACTAAATAACGCAAAATATAAGTAGAAATATTGTTCTTAAGGTCAAGTTTATGATAGCTATCTGAGAGAGATATAGGGTTAATTATCATATAAAGGAAAGAGATAAATATAATGTTCTAAGCTCCTTTCAACTTGAGGTTTACACGCAAACTGGTTAGCATTGATGATCAAAACGATTAATGCATTAAGATATGCGGAGACAGAAGTTTTTTTTTCTTATTAGACAATTCTGGAATTAGTTTAATACCCAAATATAGAAACATCCGTGTGTTAATTAGCTTCCAAAATTTCAAATAAACAGATTATTATTCATTGTTAATTTAAAATAAAACAACTGACATATTAGGTAAAGGTTCAGGGCTAGATTTGAATGGACTGATAGTAAGAATTTCTGAAAACCAGTTTGTACAAAAGCCTTTCACATGGTTCATAGTTGTACACAACATTTTTTTTTAATTATTGTATTTTCTTAGGATATTTAAGACAATGGCATGCACTGTTACTGCCGATAAAGCTAACATTAAAGTTTAGATTTTTTTTCGTTTATAAAAAAATATGTATTGTATTGTCGTATTTTTTTAATGTGAAGTTCGGAGTTCCATCTGCTTCAAGTAACTAATCTTACTAGATTATAGAGACTAGTTCTTGACTTTAATTTTACAGGCGACCGAAGAATTCGGAGGGCTTAAACTTGTGACAGCTACTACATAATAACCAGGGTTGCCAGATAACAGTCGTTGATTCACCCGACTAATAAATCTCAAAATATCCGGTTTATCCCGTCGGCGCCAACCATGACCAGGATACCCGAAAAATAAAATAGTGTTTTTTTTAAGTATTTTTTCATGTTTTATATAGAATAAAAGAAAGTACTAATGTTAGAAAAAGAAGTCATTGTAATCAGTTCTCAATTAAACAGCTATAAACTATTAAATGAAACATTAGAAAAAATGTAAAATACCAAATTAATCAGCTAAACAAAAATACCTGCTTTGACCCCGCTCAATGAAAATACCCGCCAAAATTCCGTTTTTCGGGTAATTACCCGCCAATTGGTAGCTCTGATACTATACTAACTGTAAATGGTAATGGGAAATATGGGATAAGAAAATAATTTTGAAATATTCTCGAGTTTTTAATAATGTAAGTTTATCGTAAAATGTGTTAATAAATTAGAGAGTATTAATTTTCTTAGAATTAATTTATGCGATAGCCTTATTCAATAAAAGGGCTATGTAATGAAAAAAGAATATTTCAAACCGGATTAGTAGTTCCTGAAATTAACGCGTTCAAACAAACAAACTTTGCCTCTTTATAATATTTGTATAGATAATGTATATGTGATGATGATGATGTTCTCCTGGCCGATTCCGGCTACGGCGGCCAATCTCATTGAGACTAGCCAACTGCGCAGGAGATATTATAGTGCACAAGTGTACGCGCAGACAAAAGTGCACTCTCTATTTCTGTCACTCTCATACTCCGGTGGGACGATCATTCGACACGACCAGTCAGAGTTAAGACCAGTGAGAGACCAGTGAGAGGCACGGGGGTGAAACACCGCAAACTTCACAACTCCGGGCTGTTACTGAGACTACTATACAGAAAGACTCAATAACTGGAACTATACTTACTATACTTTGTGGAACCAGCTATCGCCGGTGGTCTTTCCGAATCGCTACGACCTGGCCACCTTCAAAAAGAGAGCGTATTCTTTCCTGAAAGGCCGGCAACGCATCTGCAAGCCCTGCGGTGTTGCAGATGTCCATGGGCGGCGGTGATTACTCTCCATCAGGTGAGCCTCCTGCCCGTTTGCTCTCTTAGTCCCATAAAAAAAACAGTGATAAAACGTCGGGAACCAAAAATTAAAATAAGCACGTGAAAAAATATATTTATTGTTGCCTTCTACAATTTATACTAATATTATAAAGCTGAAGAGTTTGTTTGATTAAGCGCGCTAATCTCAGGAACTAATAATCTGATTTGGAAAATTCTTTTTGCGTTAGATAGCCCATTAACCGATGAATTAAGGCTATAGGCTATATATCATCTCGGAAAATGTACGGTCCCCGTGGGACAGATCTGTTTTTGTCTAGGGACGAACGAACCCGAAGAGAAGCGAGGGTGAGTCGTTGTGTATAGCTGAACCGGAACTGAGTAAAGCTAGAGTAGGTTACTAGTTCTATGCGATATCATTATGATATTACAATGAAACTATTTCGAATATATATCAATAGATGGCGTTATATGCATCGATATGTAATTGGTGACACGTAAATTAAATAAAAGTTAAAATGTATCTAAAAGTGTATTTCGATTTTAGAAATACTTAAAAAAAATATATAAAATATTTGGTACGATAGAAGTCACAACTATAGGTTTTTTAAATTATTTTATGTCTATTTAATCTTGCATACATACATTATAATATAAATAAGAGTCTCTTACAATGGCTAGTACCTAAATATAGTACCTAAAGCTAAAAAATAAGTTAAATATATCTCTAAAATATTATTAAGCTAAGGAGTTTGTTTTCTTTAAGCGCTTTTTCTTTGATTTTTCCAATTCTTACTCTGATTTGAAAACTTCTTTATAAATTCATAAAATACGCGAGCGGACACGCGGGCAAAAGCTAGTACGCAAATAAGATTAATACAAACATGGCAGGTATTCGCGAAATGGAATCAGACTGTAATTTATGGCGGCGATTTCAACCGAGTTTATGCAAAGGTTTGTGGAGCTCTGAATAATATACCAATGTGGTAATAGCGAGTTACATAGGGTCCGGTACTAATGAGTGACCATAAATAGATTAAATTTATGTAATTTGTACTAACTTGCGTCTGCGGCCTCGTCACAGGTTACATTTTAATTCATAAACAAACAACATGACTAAGTTTTAAATAAAAAGGTATAGTTCAGAAATATAGCTCTATCTTTGTGCTATTTTTAGGTTTCCTTACTTTAGAATATATGCTGAAAAAACGAAATTATAGAATTACACATTTGTGTCAAACTGTCAGTAACAGCCTCTTTATTTCGAACTTTTTGGAACTAAAATTTAAAAGGGCAGTGCTTTAGGAAGGTCGCGTAATCTTAAAAATGCAGAATATGTTAACCATCGGACTACTATAATTATAATTGTGAAAGTTTGTTAGTGTGTATGTTTCTTTTCCTTCACGCTATAAAGACTTGACGGCGTATAGACTTGGATGTTTCGTACACACATATACTGACCTGAAGTGGCACTTATGTTAACAACCGAACGAAGTGTCATAGCCTATATGGCTAATCTAAAACATAAATATCTCGTGTCACGGTGCTTGTGGTCGCATTTCTCCGAAACGGCTCTACCGAATTATATATAATTAGCGACTCACTCTCGCTTCGCTCGGATTTGTCCCTAGCTTGATTCCCCATACAAACTTTCATCCCCATTTTCACTCCCTTAAGGGATGATTTCCGGGATAAAAAATATCGAATGTCCTTCCCAGGGTCTCAAACTATCTTCTTACCAAATTTCATCTAAATAGGTTCAATAGATCCAAAGATTACCCCAACAACGTCACAAACTCACAAACACACAAACTTTACCTCTTTATAATATTAGTATAGACAATTCATGATTTTTTTCCATATATGGTAGAGAGAATAGATCGTAAAGTATTTTTCACCCTTCTCTCCCCACCCGCCATTTTTTAATCGCGGTTTTAGTATTTTTGTATGAACAATATTATATATTAATATTATAAATGTGAAAGTGTATTTGTTAGTTTGTCTGTCTTTCTTTCACGTGGAAACGGAGTGACGGGTTGGCGTGATTATTTGTGTGGAGATAGTTGGAGAGCTGGAGAGAAAACATGTTATAATACAATCCAAAAAAATATTTATGATCAGAATTACTGGAAACTTGGTATTAATGCTCTTCGATAATATTTATTAAATACCTGTATTAGCATTTTTTGAAAGTCATCTTATAAGGTGGTAAAATAGGGGATGAAAGTTTGCATGAAACTACCTTTTTAGAGATTTTTTTGTAGTTTTAGCGCGAGCGAAGCCGCGGGTTCTGCTAATATTATATAAATATAAGAAAGCGAGCGAAGGTGAGTTTTTTTTTGTAGACTGAACGCGGGCGTAGCCGCGAGTTCAGCTAGTATTTTTAATAAAAAGTTAATAAATTCAAGCTTTACCCACTATAGATATGCATACACAATTTATGTTTCGGTGAGTCTAAAGCGTCTGAGTTGATTCGAATGCTGCCGACAGTTTGAGGAAAACTTTTTATTACTTTCAGGTAAATATGGACTGGTGTTTACGTATCTGGCTTTTCCTATGATAAAGTTGGCTGTACTATTTTATGATATTTATACGAATCGGGCTATTTGTTTGTTATTTATTACAGTAAAAGCTTTTTGTAAACGTCAAGGTATTATCGCAGCCAGCTAAAAATTAAAATACTGATATGGAAAAAGACATTTCATTTTATAATTTTTTTAATCGAAAGTCTAATTGAAGTCGGTGCCAGCCTACAATATTTTAAGATAATATGAATATCTAATAGATAATATGAGTATTTTACGTATCGAAATATATTTGATTTGCTTTGCATCGGCTGGCAACGACTTCGAAAATATCTGATTAGGTATCTATTCTAAATGAAAACCTCCGTTTAGTTATTTGAGAAACTACTTTGAATATAGTTATGAGTTTTCACGGGAACCGGAGAGACAGTTATCAGCTAACTTCATCATGTCGCTTTTCGGCTGTCGGTGTGCACGCGCGTCGTAAAAATTTTATTTTCATATTTTTTTCCAAAAGTGCCAAAAGAAGTATAACTTCAAAAATGCAAAAAGTTAATAGACAGACTAACGTATCACGTTTTCTATACGATACTTAGTAATAACAGTTAATACTCAGGCTT